TGCTTTGGAGACGTGGGAAAAATTAAACCAGTCTTTTATCACATTATTTCTTTAAGCCTAATGTAGAAGTGATGAAACATTTATAGGCACTCTGTTCTCACTATGGCCTGTTTGTCCATTGACCCCAGCACTGGTCTTACAACAATACACTATTTATTGTTGGAAAAATTTTTTACCATGATGACTGTATTGTTAGATTATTTTAGCATGTTTTTAGAAGTTTTGAGTTTTGCTTGTATTTATAGCAGTTAATGCTATGGCACTGCAGAGTTCTAAGAACTACAGTTAGTTACTTGTAATCTAGATGACTTTTTATTTTAAAGAAAAGAGATTGTAATTTTTACTTACGGGATTGTGAGCATTTGGTAATCAGTCACAAAGTTCCAATGTTTTGAAATATCTGTGTTAACATTTGATAGGCAGAATAAAGATGAAGGAAAGAAGCCAGAAGTTAAGAAAGTGGAGAAGAAGCGAGGTTAGTTTCTTTACTTTCTAAGATGTATAAAGTTACACAAAGAAAGGAAGTTATACAGACACTTAATTTTTCATGTGTAGGTTTTAAAAGGTCATTTTATGTTCTTAAACCCTACAAATAAAATTTTCAAATCTCTAATGGATTCTACGTACGTTGCATTGTATTGTAAGTATAACCAGGTGAACTTGCTAAGAAGTCATGTTTATTATTCTAATGCTCATTATCTGATTAATTCAGATTAGTAATGTAGACAGATTAAGTTGAACATTTTTTTAAATTACAAAATCTTTCCATTATACTTTGCTAATGTTACACAGAAATACTGGTTTTGGAAAAACTATTTACTCTTTCACATTTTAATTTATAGAAACATCAATGGATTCTCGACTTCAAAGGATACATGCTGAAATTAAAAATTCACTCAAAATTGATAATCTTGTAAGTGTTTAACCCTTCATTTAAAAATACAATGCTGCTTTTATAGCTTCTTATTTTCTCACATGGTTTTATAAGTAAAGGGACTATCACCGGTTGTTTTGTACTGCCTTGTTTGAAATTTTGAAAGTAATCTTTAGAAATAGACTACAAAGATTGTGGTAATTAACAGTTATGAAATTACTGTTTTGTGAAGGATGTGAGCAGATGTATTGAGGCCTTGGATGAATTAGCTTCACTTCAGGTCACAATGCAACAAGCTCAGAAACACACAGAGATGATTACAACACTGAAAAAAGTAAGCAATCTTAAGTCATGCAGATTTAAAAATTTTTCTCAAAACCACTTCATTAAAAAGTAACATCTAAAAATCAATTAGGAAAATAATTATGAATGCATATTTTGTTTTCTCAGATTCGGCGATTCAAAGTGAGTCAGATTATCATGGAAAAGTCTACAATGTTGTATAACAAGTTTAAGAACATGTTTTTGGTTGGTGAAGGAGATTCTGTAATCACACAAGTGCTGAATAAATCTCTTGCTGAGCAAAGACAGCATGAGGAAGCAAATAAAACCAAAGATCAAGGGAAGAAAGGGCCAAACAAAAAGCTAGAAAAGGAAACAGGTATGTGGTAATGAGTGCTTCCTAAAAAATGGCTTTGATATATCATTAATACCTTAATCTACATTAAACTACAAAAAGGTCTCTTCTATACTTAGTGTGGAACGTAGTCATGTCAACCTTATAGCTTGTTTTCCAAGTTAAAATTAGTAGTAAATACTATTGTTTACTATTACTAGACTTGAACAATGTGGGGTTTAGGGTTACCAACCCCCTTTGCAGTCAACAATCTCCATATAACTTTTGACTCCCCCAGAACCTCACTACTGCTGACTGGAAGGTCTTACTAATAACAGTCAGCTAACATATTTTGTGTATTATATAGTATAGAATATGCTATATTATTATAAAGCTAGAGAAAACATTATTAAAAACCTAAGAAAATGTTTACAGCATTTATTGAAATACAGCAATTCAAACGCATGTTATTCAAAAGTCAACATTATTGGTAATAATTCTCTTTTCATTTAATTTAGGAAAAATTCTTACCTACACAAAAGTAGAGAGAAATGAATTTCCTATGTCCATCACCCAGCTTCAGCAGTTACCAGCAAATGACTATTGCTGTATTATGCCCTGATCAAGTTTTTCTGTGACACCCCAGCAGATTATTTCAAAGCCAGTTCCAGATATGTGATTTGAACAACAGATATTTTAAGTTGTATCTGTGATGGACTCTTAAAATAGAGTCAGTACCATTATCTGTTCCCCAGTTCTGTGTTATTAAACATCTTAGCAGCTGCTGCTTAATGTAGAAACCAATACTCAAAAGGAGTTGGATTTTTTTTTACTCCTATATTAGGGAATGTTATATATGTGTCCTTAAGAGAATTTTTTAAAAATATATTCTATTGATTATGCTGTTACAGCTGTCACATTTTTCTCCTCTTTATTCTTCTCCACCCCCTCCCACCAGCATTCTCCCCCTTATTTCATGTCCATGGGGAGATCTGTTAGTAAGATTTACATGGAGGCTCTCATTTTCTTAATAACAGGGCACAAAATCATGTTAAGACTTTTTTTTTACATTTTCTAAAATACCAATGATGACATATATAAGATTTTACTGTGATTCACATTTTTTCTGAGAAATACAATGAATCATAATGGTCCAAACAGTTGTGCCACCTTGTTGCTGATAACAGTAATAAATGGAATAATCAGAATAATGATCTACTTCCTGTGCCCACAAATATATATATATAGCAACCCTGCTTCTTAAAGTATGTGCGTCAGCTGCCCTAAGGATTACAAATAAAATACATTAAGTATTAGAAATTTCATGTTTTATATTTTGAACTTTAGAGGACATCTTCACAAGTATTAATGGAAGCTCTAACAGTTAACCCCCCCCCCCCCATTGGAATCCTTACAAAGGTTCAAAGACTCTAAATGGAGGCTCTGATCAAGACAGTAATCAACCTCAGCACAACGGAGACAGCAATGAAGACAGCAAAGATGAGGCCAGCAGCAAGAAAAAGTGAGGACGTGTTTCAGTGGGTCGTAATGTGTGTGTTTGATTTTTAAATCATGTTGTTGTCTCAAGGTTCAAAATATAAGGGATTATATTTCGATCACTCAGTTCCTGAATTCAGGAAAAAGATGCAGATCAAAAAGGCAAAAATGAAAGAAAATTATTTACAACTAATCTGCCTGTGTTCAAGGTTAGAGAGCTGGCCTGAATCCAGTTTTTAAAAATTAACTATTCTTCCTTGGACTAATTTCACTCATGTTCATACTTTCTTGAATTGTGACAGGATAATAAAAATTAGATCTAGAATCTCAGGCTATTTTGTAGTATGATACCCGTTGTAGATATGGAACCATGGTTATCCAAGTCTTGGTTTGTTCCACTATTTATTAATATATTAAGCCTTGGAATCAAGCATCCCTTGTAATTCTGAAATTCAGGGAAGTCCTGCATGGTGTGTATCATCCCTTCATTTAGATTTGTAATATGCTGGTGTCACAGGTATTGACATTTTCAAGTTCTTTAAAGAGAATTGTTAACCCTGGCTAGTGTGGCTCAGTGGGTTGAGTACCATCCTATGAACTGAAAAGTCCCTGGTTTGATTCCCAGTCAGAACACAAGCCTGGGCTCTGTGGGCCAGGTCCCAGGTTAGGGTCATGAGAGAGGCAACCAATTGATGTTTCTCTCCTTTCCCCTCTCTCTAAAAAGTACAGTCTTTTCAAGAGAATCCATTTTAAAGCTGGAAATGATGGAAAGGGCCTGGGCCATGATATTGCCCTGAGTTACTGTGCTTGATCTGCATATATTTGGCGAAGTCGGTAGAACACAGTAAAATAAATTTCCAACCAAAAATAATGACTAAATATTTGGGTGATTTAAAAAACATAATGCACACATTAATACCTTTTTTTCTCTGGAGGAAAAATGTCCCCTAATCCCAATTGTCACACCTTTTCCCCCCCACTTTTCTGTAGGCCATCCAGTGAAGAGAGAGAGACCGAAATATCTCTGAAGGATTCTACGCTAGATAACTAAGTTGACATACCTGGAATATAAAGAACATTTGCGAAGTTTGTAATGGTTTTCATTTGAGATATTTAGACTGTTGAAAGTTTTAAATTTTTATAATAGGTTTTGATGTTTAAAACTTGTTTTGGGGGAAAAATCCCTTTATCTTTGTTTAAAAGTAATTAAATATTGGTTAAGTGTACTTTGTGCAGTATTAACAACTACATTATACAGTAAATGTGAGGGAAGGTCCATTTAGGAAATGCTGAACTGCTTTTCCAGACATTGGTTGTAGCATATTTTCAATTAGTGTGTGTATGTTAATGTGTAATTGATAGTAAAGTTACATTTTTAAAACTGCTACTTGTATAAAACCTTTACTCTTTCCCCAAATATTGTGGGTTTTGTGCAGTTTTTACAAATCTTGGATTTACCAGACTGTCTTTTCACTGTTTGTGGTTTTTGTAGAAGTTATACATTTTTATGAAAGATAAAATGTTACTTCTATAAAATTATTCCCTTCTATCTAAAATTAACCTCAGTCTACATTGTGCTACATTATCCTGCTGCTTTGTAACAATGTGTGTGGTCTGTATGCCATTTTGACAACTAGATACCCAACTGACATTGAACTGACAATTCTACAAAATACAAAACTCATGTTAAATTAGTTTCTAAAGTTAATTCTGTGGCTGGGAATTCAGCAGTCACAGGACTTTCCTGTGGAGAGCAGAACTGGTGTACATAGGAATGAATCTGGCCCTACGGGTCCAGCCAATCTAAGGTCCTTTACAGGCACTAGTAGCTGAAATTGAAAACTAAGTGATAAAAGTTTATTTTTGGGACATTTCCGAATTTTTTTAAAAAGTCACACTCATTTAAGAAAGTTAGCAAGTAGTATTTTTTTAATTGGAAAGCAACCCATGATGTTTATGAAGTAAATAAAAGTAAATACTATATAAAGAAACTAGCCTATTTAAAAACATGGCTATATCAGAAGGGAATTTTTATTTCTGCATTGTACATGTGACAGGATTGCAAAAAGTACAAACATTAGCTTTCTCAGAGGCAGCAGGCAAAGTAAAGGAATGGTTTGAATAGTCTGTATATTCACATATTTGGAATAAATCTGAGTGACCCCATGTTAACACAAAAGAGTTAAGGCTAACTGTAACAGATAGTATTTCTAAGATCATATAATTAGGTCAGTTGGTGGTTTTTGGTAGCTAAGACTGTTTGTTTTGAAACTATGAATACGGGAAAAACTTTTAATACTCAAGTGTTTGCATGTGGCATAGATTGTATGTTTTGACCTCTGATAATTTTGTTTTCATCAATAGATGGAAAGTTGAATTATTTCAATAATTGGAATTTTAATTTTGAGAGGTCTTACAATGGAACCTAGGACTCAGTGTTTTGAGGGAACTCTTCCTATTATATCTGTTTGGTCCTTAGGACAACTAAAATTTGGACATAATTCTTGTTAAGCCATAAGTGTCAACATGTAAACTTGTTTTGATTAAAGAATTTTTTTTAAATCAAACTGTACTAGTAAATTACTTCTTTGCTATTTTTAAAAATGTGTTGGAATTCTGGCTTGGCTTCCAAGGGAGTAATTTCTGAGTTAACCTCACCATAGAGATTGTGTTGTTTGGAGAGACTAGGAAACTAATAAGCTCAAAATGATAAAAATAAAGGAAATGTTATTTTTGGTCCATCCTCCCTTTTCTTCTGTGATCCAACAGGCCTACACAGCTTACCAAGAATCACAAAATCTTCTGATTATGTGGCATTAAAACATAAGTTGCCTCCTCTATCTGAAGGATTTCAAGACATTTTTCTTCGTCAATAATTCACAAAACCTCAGAACTATCTTGAAAGTCATAATCATCAAGAATGTTCAGAAGCATTGGTTGAATTTAAGTGTGTATTTGGTCAAAACAGAACTGGACAAGTCATTCAAGAGATAATTTAAACGAGAGAGCTAAGACCACTGCCTCAGCCCTCAAACCCACATTTTTAAAAATATGTGTACACACCACCTATTTCATTGCTGCTTTTTAAACCACTGTATAATGTTTTACACTGGATAATATTTTAAAAGAGTAAGTTATGCATGACTCAGCAGAATCAATTGTTGGTTTTCTCAGCCACTTGGGAGAAATTTCAGAAGTACCATCCGAATCAGGGAATCTAAATCAGACTTTCTATGTATAAACAGCTTGAATGGAGTACGTTAAGCCTTATAATTGCTATTACGTTGTGTGGTTTCAAATAGTAGGACAACAGATTGATCGTAGTATACCCATACACTTACCTGGTTGAAGGTGCTGGGTCAAGATGATGTGGCTTATACAAGAGTAATGGCTTTTACAGGGCTCTGAAGGTTTCACTAGCAACTTACTTTGTTACACTGGCCCACGATTATACCTTAAGAAAAGAACCTGTTAAATAGGCAGACATGTATTCAAATTTGTGCTGTGTAATTCCCCAGCCTTAGAGATTGGGAGAACAAATTATCCTTAAAAGGTAATGAAGCCTGAAAAAGATGTTTCAGGAAATAGGCACTGCTTTTCTAGACTGTGATTTTGTGCACGACTCTATATATTAAAGTCTAATTCATTTCTAAATACAGAGAATATTGATTAATTCGAATTCATCATGCTTTCATATTTGCTGTTTTAGATAAAATATGTAACTTCAGTCAGTCATGTTTAATGTTGAAATTTGCAGCTATAAAATCCCTGATACAAGATATCTTTTATGCCTGTTTGGAAGCTGGGAGTTTCTTTTGGTGTGAGACCTGTGTATCTCATATACAATGCATTGGCAAATTCTGGAAGTGATCTGGTTAGGTTAGCTTTTTAGATTTTACCAGGAAATTATAATAGATACCTGAGCCTTGTAATGCTGGTGAAAAGATTCACCTTAAGAACCGGCCGGACAATATTCTAAATAAATGATAAAACAAGAATTCAGTATTAACTGACCATCTTTATCCACTAAAATAAACTGACTGGCACCACACATGGATTAATGCTTCCTCTATAATTCACTTCCCAGAATTTTTGTTTTGAGAATATGAAGTGACGAAAAAGAAGAAAAGTAAAAAAAGACGCCTATATACAAAGTAAAAGCTGTAAGGAATGCAGTTTAAAAATAAATTCATTTTTACCTCAGGAACTTGGAGGAATTGGGTAAATCTGGTTTCCAACAGAATTTTAAATCATCATTGGAAACATGAAAGTACAAATTTAGGCAATAACATAAACCAACCACGTTGGGACAACTTATTTATGTTGATTTCTCTAGCATGTTGACTGAATCAGTGAATGAGAACACTGCTAGATATACTAGAAAGAGGTTCTTAACATGTCACATTTAAGTCCATAAAACATTTGTCAACATTTTAAATGTATAGGTTTATAGGCTTCATCAGTTTTTGATTTATATGGTAAATGTTCTTACCCATCCAGGGAGTGTGGAATTCAGTTGACTTTATAAATGTAACCTAGAAGAAAATGAAATTTTAAAGGACAGTTTAATTTTCCACCAAAAAAAAAAATTTCCAAAAACATTTCAGAGTAGATACCGTAGCTATAATTTTCCCTGATGGCCTAAACCTCGGAATTGATCACACTTGCCCTTTGGCCCAGAATGAGAGAAGAGAATTATAGTAAGGGGGCCAAAAAAATGACGTGTTGAGCCAGAAAAACTCTTCTTTTTGCACAGAGAATACTGGGTATTACTGCCCAGGAATAAGTGAGTCAGAGCTAATAATCCATAGGATCTTGAATTACCATGTCCCAGTAGTCATATTACATGAGATTATTTTTTAGTTAATAAAAATACTAAATTGACATACATTTTAAACTCAGTATTCGTGATTCACAAAAAGTTGTCAAGAAATGAAGCTTCAGCCCTGGCTGGTGCGGCTCAGTTGATTGAGTGCCAGCTTGCAAACCAAAGGGTCTCCAGTTCTATTCCCAGTGAGGGCACATGCCTGGGTTGTGGGCCAGGTCCCCAGTGGGGGGCACCTGAGAGAGGATCACACTGATGTTTCTCTCCCTCTCCTTCCCTTCCCCTCTCTCTAAAAATAAATACATAAAATCTTTTTAAAAAAGGAAGCTTCAATTCAAATGCTACTTCTGTAAAGCTATGCGTATATACTCAAGATCTCATATTTATTATTCATGTAATGTGTCTCATTTTCAAAGAATTTTCAAAGTACCCCACCACTTGATGTATCATTAATTGAACCCAATAACTAGGCAAGCCACAGATGAGGAGAAAATCAATACATATATCTCACAAAGGATTTGTATTCAGAATACATAAAGCCTTCCTACAACTCAGTAAGATAAACAGATTTGAAAATGGGCAAAAAGCACTGAGAACTATACTTTGTAATAAATACTAAAATATATTTCTAAGCATTTAAACACAATTAAGTTACTTTGTAAGAAAATTTGTAATTTGAACTTTGTTGGGGGAATGAGGGTAATAACTTTAGCTGCTTGTTTCAGGTTGGTCCTGTTTCCTACAAGAGCACATATTCTGTTATTAATTAAAGGTTCCAGGATCAACATAAGGATAAGCGAGGAATTCCCCCAGTTTGTTGCCTTCTGAATCATAGTGGAGCATTCGGAAGCAAACATCACAAAAGAAACAAGGGTCATCTGGTGCAAAACTGTCATTGTTCGTCACCCATCTGTGGTCAAAAAAAAAAAAAAAACATCGTTACAATTAACTTTCTCAGCTGTGAGTTATGAAGTGTAATGATATATAAATATAACTCCCACTATTGCCTTCTCATCCTATCTAATAATTATAACCTTTCATAGGATTTTCTGTACATACACAGATAGATTTATCCCTGTCAGTCCTGTACAAGGCAACAGCGCAACTAACATATACTGCAGAATGCTGTTTCTCTGAGACTACTTAAGGTCCACAGAGAAGAATACAAATCCATAATGGAAAAACCATACACTTACCATGACATACCTATCCAAGGAACTCATGAACACAATCCTTTTCTTTCAAGAGGCCATCTTGAAAAACAATAAATTAGATGCTACAGATCTGATAACTTTTGCTTAATTTATCTTTCTAACTGGTAAATGAGTGGTAGTTGGAAAACTCCAGTTGTTTTACTTAGAATTCAGGATAAAATGTTAAAAGAATGCATACAAATGGGAAATATAGGCAACATTCTTCAACTGAAATTTTAACAATTAGTCACAATTAGTCACCACTGAACATGTTATTTTTCAGTTTACCTGAATTCTGCACCTCATGGAATGTTACCTACCCCTGAATTCCACTTTGATCTAATAACTGATTTATGTCTTCCTATTTATCATTTGGAAAAACACATTGTGGTATGGAATTCAAAACAAGTTGATGATACTAAATTCTCCTTTTCCTCTGCATGGTTTGTTGACTGATCCCCAGTTAAAGAAATACTCAAAGCATGCACAATCACACAACAGAAATTTTATGAAGCCCTATTTTGACCTCTACATGTGAGATGCTGTGTTAACTTTTTCATTGAGGAGAAACTAGACAAAACTGACTTTGTAAACTGCAGAGGGGAGGCAGAAAGAACATGGTTCCCTGATGACACTGAGCATTGTATCAACCAATTCAGTCTGACCTTCCCCTGGACTTCTGCTACACATGATAATTAATTTCCTTCTTGTTTAAAAATGTGGTTGTAACTAAAGTGATCTGCAGCACTTCCCTAATTAAAAAATCCTTTATATTATTTATACCTCAAAGTATAAGTCCTCAGATATAAAACAGACAACTGAAATACCAAAAATCAAAAATACCTGACTGTTGAAAACCAATACCTCTTTAAATTTAAATATCACTTACCTAGCTGTGTACATTTTACAGACAAAACATTTTCTGGTCCATAGCCAATGCTTCTTGATAAGAAGGGGATAAAGTTTCCTATCCAAGCAGTCATCACAATGCACAAGCCTTTTGTTCATGAGAAAATAAATGAAGATATTGAAGTACAAATTTTAGTGATATGTAAAGAATGCAAGATATCTGTGCCTCAACACTAACAACATATGTAGATATAATTTTCTTTTTTTTTTTTTGCTCAAAAAAGTTTTACATATAAAATGACTTTACACCAAGTTGACCAAATCGTGTTCCACAAAACACGTTCTCCCACAGAGCATTTTGGATTGAACAATGCCTTCTACGAAACTTCCCAAACACCCCTTTCATAGTAATGTGCACTGTAACCCTCTGAGAGGAAGATGCTGTGTGCAGCATTTCTTGAATGTATTCCATCAGAGAATCCTTGCTTTACTCAACCTTTTTTATAGAACACAGTTTGAGCAACTAATTGATCTTATTTAAGTATTTTACCTAGCTATTCTACTGAGATTGACTGGTCATGTGGTACAACACAGCTCTTGATTACTGTCCTCTATTAAAATCCAAATCTAACTCCTGGCATAATGTAAATTGGCACAACTTTAGTTTTAGGTATCAGAATTAAGAAATTATGAGTGAAAATTAATCTCCACTGTGCTACTTATCAGCTGAGTGGGTCTGGATAGGTCCCTTAACTGTGCTGGACTTCAGACTCTTCACCTGAAACATGAAGGGACTGCTCAGGGTATGCTAGTAATCTCTGGTCTCAGACAATTCTAAAATTTGATTCTTACTATTATTTTTTTTAGCAAGAAAGGGCAGCAATATCACCAATCAAAAAATTGACCAATGAATTTTTCAACAGTTTACTAATTAATAAACTATGGCACTGAATTAAATCAGCCTGTAAAATAAAAATGACTTTTAGTCTATGTTCCAAGTTGCCATGAATTTAAGGAATGACATTGTATGTAGCAATATGCCTACACCACAAGAAATGTAAGGAGAGTAAAAGTAGGCAGAATAGTTTATATAAAACTGAAAGAACACATTATTCAAGAAGTAAGTACATAATTTTGAAAGTCATAGATTTATGAGGTTTATGTATTCTCTCGGCTTTTGCTGCAAAAATTCTTCAAGGGGCAATTGTTATACTCTTAACTGTTTACTTTTAAAATAGCTCCTCAGCCTCTCTCAGAACTATAACTTTGGTTAAATAGATACTTAACGTTTAACTTATGACAAATTAATACTATCAACCACATAAGGTACATAAAACACTGTATGTTCTTTTTACTGAATAACACTTTCTTTTCTAGGTCCTAATTCTCTCATGTTTGCATCTGCTGGGCTTTCAGTGTTCCTGTCACCAGTTCAGTTCCCACAGAATGGTAAAAATACTCTCCATCAGTATGCACCGACAGGAGGTCTAGTAGCTCTGGATACCCTTCCCAAATCCTCCATCCTGCTGCAGTCCTGGATTAAGTGGTTCTCCTGCTGCTAGACAGCCATCGTTCTGGAATTTCCCTTTCCAGTCATTCTGAGGGTTCCATTTACATCTTAGTTATTCTGTTTTGCATTCCGTGTTTTTTTCTTTTTGAAGATCCAATCATTGTGTGAGGTACTACCTCAGGTAGCTTCCTGAGGATCAGTGCATGGGAGGTGAAGTTTTTGAGACTATCGACTGAGATCCGAAAGAAATGGAAGCAAGGACGTTCTGAAACGTCAGTTCCTATTATTGGTGTAATAAATATATGGGTATAACATTGCTCCACAAGAAAAACTTGAAATGGTCTCTCAGAAGGAATCCAAATGGGGACAGAGGAGGGCTCATTCCTATATATTGTCCTTCATAAATTGATTATTTCCTAAATAAGGAAATGAAAAGCTTTATTCATGAGAGAAGATACCATTTATATAAAATTATGACTAATCTTAAAACCTCATTTTAAACTATTTTAGTCCTTCCCACTTTAAATCTTTATGAAATCATTAAGACTTATTTGTCAACTATCAGAATTATTTGTCAACTATTAGAAATATTCTTCTCTACCCCACTTCCCTTTTATCTCCTTCAAATTTTGGCAAAAGACATGTATCTGAGAAATACAGCTGCAAATTTGCAGCGTGCCTACATGGTATACAAAGTGGATGACTACTACCTGAAGAAAAGCTGTCTAATATATAAATGGTGATACTTTAAAAAATATTTATAGATTTTTAACCCTCTAATAAACAGTAAAACACTTCTTATATATATTTTCCAAAATACAAACAAGAGGATACAAAGTTGATCACTGGGTGGAAAACACTTTTGCTGTTTCCAAGCCAAGCTGCACTGACCATTACTTTTACTCCTCGAATCCAAAACAAAACAAAACAAAACAAAACAAAAACCTGTGCTTTTATATTGTGAAATAAAACAAATGTTCTGAGTACTGCCACTTACCTTATGTCAGTAATGACAATCACATGTTCACAGTCTCCCTGGTGACAGTATAAGTAAGGAAAACCCAGTTTAATATGTAAGTCATTGAAGGTGAAGTCTTCCATTTTCGCAGTCTGAAACTTTCCATAACCTCTGTCATGGGACTCTGACCATTCAATGATAGTTCTGAGGAGGGAGAAAGACAAGGATGTATCATTACTCCATAAAAAATTAAAAAAGGACAGAAAATGGGCTGTGACTACAGTATTTCACAAAACCTGCCTCCTCCAATGAACCAGACAGTTCCCATCTCGAGATGAAAACCATAGTGGTTGATGTGTATTGGAATTAGGAATTCTGAATTTTCGTTTATCCGTTAGAGCAGCAGTTCTCAAAGTGTGGTTCCTAAGACCCCACAGAGGTTTGTGAAGTCAAAATTATCTTTACAATAATCCTAAAATGTTACTGCTACCCTTTCAGCCTTATTACCTCATAAATGACCATTTTTCTGGAGGTTACATCACATGGGTTATCACTTGAGACTGAATGGAAAATGTGTAACAATGTCACTTTTCTCGCTATTTTGTTCTGAAAATTTTATTTTTTACAAAAATGTTACTATTGTTAATGTTTAACAGGATTATTTAAATTAGTCAATATTTAAAATATTTGAGTCTGAACTGTTAATATGATAAATATTGATAGTTATAACCCACATGAAAAGCTCTTTGGCATCCTCAATTATTTCCAGTATAAAGAAATACAGAGCCCAACAAAACTGAGAACTGCTATGTTAGAATATAAATGAAAATGCCTATAATGAAAGAGAATTTATATAAATAATCAAATACACACACACACACACACTCTCTCTCCAGTTGCTAGGACATTGATAATAAAAGCTCAGTCTAACTGCCATGATGATTAGATACAGATGTTTCATGCTCTGTACTGAAGAAACCATGTAAGTCACCTAGGGCAAACCATCATGTGCACTAAACAAGCAGAAAAAGAGCAAAAGATTAACTTCCTGCTATCACCTAATACAAAGAACAGACATTAATAAAGTGTTTAAGTGGGATTTAGTTCTTTTTTCAGATGTATCTAAGGCTCAAATAAGACTCACTAAAATTTCTAAAATACTTAAAAAAAATTTTTTTTTGGACAGTTGGCAAAGATCCTGAAATGGCTGATGTAAATTTTTGGCAGAAAAAATTTTTTAGAATAAAAATTTTGAGTAACTTATTAATACCTAGACCAACGTTGAAAATATTTTAAAACCCAAGAGATAACTTTTTACTCCAAATCAAACAACACAACCCAACACAATTATTCCTTGTCAAAGATCCTTCACAGACCAGTAAGAGGATTTGTGGAGATAATACCATTTTGAAAACTACAAATCAGAAAGACTTGGAGAAGAGTTTTGGAAACTGTACCTGCTCAAATCTCTGCACTCAGGGTACCTTTTATCATTGTAAAATGTTCCTTCAAAATAAAAGAAGGCTGATTTGTATAGGTCCTATAAGACAACAAGATGTTATTGAGAGAAAGCAATTATAAAATGATCTAAGTATTGATTAAAAATTTGTATGCCAAAAAATCACACAAATGTTTAACTTTATAAAACTTCATAGAACAAGCTCAACTCATTCATTAATTTGTTTAATATTTAATGGCAACTCTTATGTAAAAAATATGTTAGTTACCAGGTGTCAAGGTGTAAAATTTTATCCATTGTTATTTTACTCATTAGGTTTGATTTAAATCTGTAGTCTCCTAAGATTCATGAAAGAAACCCAAATAGAAATGAAATAAATATATTATTTTTATTATATACATACACAGCAATGAGGTATTTTATTTTTTAAAGATTTTTATTATTTCTAGACAGAGGGGAAGGAAGGGATCGAGGGAGAGAAACATAAATGTGTTTTGCCGCTTGCATGCCCCCTCCTGGGGACCTGGCTCACAACCCAGGCATGTGCCCTGACTGGGAATGGAACCAATGACACTTTAGTTCTCAGACCAGCACTCAATCCACTGAGCTGCACCAGCCAGGGCATTATTTTAGATACTGGACTAAAAACTAAACAGTCATATCTTTGGTGTTTCCTCCATGTTAACAACAATAATCATGGAATTATGTTTATCTGTCATTTTTTAAAATTTTCAATGTGCTTTTATAAAAAGTCCCCATTTATATTTCCAGTAACTCTTAGGCAGGCAGAATGTGATTTTCTAGTCTTATTCAAGCAATCTGGCCCAGAGTACCATAGTAGCCGCACAACTGGTCTGAATCCTTAGGTTTCTTACCTTTCAGTCTATCAGACTTTCCATCAGAGGGATGGCTTTTAATCCTGACCGCATAACGGAGTCACAAAAACATCAAAGACCAAGTCTCACCTCAAATGCATTAAATGAGACTCTCTAAGGATGGGGCTCAGGCACCAGTGTCATTCCAAGCTCCCCAAGAGATTAAAACGTGCACCCAATGCCGAGAACCACTCTGTTAGACTTGTCTTTCACCATATGCTTAAAATTAACCCCCTGGAAGAGGGTTAAAAAGACCTGTTTTCTTTTCCTGAACCTACACTTCCTCCTTGGACCTGTTTCCTTACCTGTAAAATCAGAAGAACACCTGGCATGCTGTGATACAGGGCTGTGATGAGAACCAAAAGTAGTATGAACTATAAAAGATATATAAGCTTCAGATATTAAAATAATTTTACCTTAAAATAACCTAAATTCTCTGCTACTTCGATAAAGCTTCTGTTTTTTTCTTAGTTGTCTTTGTTCCCCCATTTATAGATCATCTGGCATTGGTGTTAGATACCCTTATAAGGCTGGTTTTGCTGTTTTTCCTTGGTCACCTCACTAAATCTCCCTGACCCACTTTTTCTCATATTTCTGTAGAACATGAGTAAAGCCATTACCTTCTTCCCAGATGAATGCAGAGATATAAGGATATAATGTACCATAATGCCATGTCTAGCTGCTGTTAAAACTCAAAATCTGCCACTGAATATACTTCTGAACCTTCTAAGAGGTCTGCTTGGGCCCAACATAAAGGTTCTGAAAGAAAAAGTGTATCTATAGAACTTCATTTTAAGTAATTAGGCAACTTAATGCTTTGACATAACTATAAATTAGAAGGGGAACTTTAAAATAACAAAAGCCTTTTCCATATAAATCCTAAGTCACCCATTAAAAACTTTTCCTCGTCTCAGTATACAAACAGTTAAGAAGATATGAATAATCTCAGTACAAGTAATTTTCATTTTAATGGTAACCAGTGATACTAACTAGTTTCCCTATTCTGTCAGCTAGTTTAGCTGACAATGTTCCCAGAGTGGGTGAGAGCAGAGCATCAACCAACCAACATGGGAAAACTAGTGTAAAGAAGTTATTTCTGTTATTAATCTAATATAACCCAAGTCTATGGGTAGTATTTCCATTTTATAAACAAAGTAACTATCAATAACTAACATGATCATCTGAACACAGTCATCAGTTATATATAATTTTAGGCATCAGTTGACCATTTATACTCCACTACCACTGAGATAGGCTATGTTGGAACTACAGAGACAGTCCTAGGATCTGCTGTGAGGAAAGTGGTAATGGGACAGAGTGCTGGAGAAGCTTGGGTAAGGAAATTTTTACAACTTGAATTTATGTTACCATTTTCCTATACCAAGGCTTTATTTATAATAAGTCTATAAAGTACTTTCTTAAGTGTGCCTCTAAGAAAAAGTCTTAAGAGATTATTAACAACAAAAAACTTGTCACAGTAATGTACAAAAGATCAATAGAATCAGACATTAAAACATGCCGAACCGCCCTGACTGATATGGCTCAGTTGGTTGGGCATCATTCCACAAAGTGAAATGCCACTGGTTTATTACTGGGTCAGGGCATGTGTCTGGGTTACAGGTTCAGTCCCCGGTCAGGGTGCATGTGGGAAGCAACAAACCAATGTTTCTCATACTGATGTTTCTCTCCCTCTCTTTCTCCCTCCCTTCTCCTCTCTCTAAATATAAATAAATAAATCTTTTTTTTTAAAGAAAATAAGGAACCATTGAAAAAAAACTTAAGCCAAGCCCTGGCTCATGTGGCTCAGAACCAAAAGGGTTGCTGCTGGTTTAATTTCCAGTCAGGGTACATGCCTGGGTTGTGGGCCAGATCCCCAGATGGGGGTGTGCGACAGGCAACCAATTGAAGTATCTCTCACACATTGATGTTTCTCTCCCTCTCTTTCTCCCTCCTTTCTCCTCTCTCTAAAAGGAAATAAATAAATCTTAAAAACAAACTTAAGCTAAGAACAGTAGTACTATTTTATATGCATATATTTTTAAATGATTCCATTCTTGAACTACTATACTCCAAAACAAATGTTAGCAAACCATATTTTAGACTTAAGTTGTTAAAAGATATTTGGACTCATAGAGAGCAGGCAGGCAGCTATGGAGGGCTGGGTTGGGGGTGGAAGGACGAAGCAAAAAAGAAAAATGATTCATGGACAACAGTTCAGCGACTGCCGGGGGGATGGAAGTATAAGAGGGATAAACAGTAATGGAAAAAATACAACTGAAATAAATTTAAAATAGCCCTGGCAAGTGTGGTTCAGTGGGTTGCCTGCAAACTGAAAGGTCTCTGGTTTGATTCCGTCAGGGCATATGCCTGGGTTGTGGGCCAGGTGCCCAGTAGGGGGTATACAAGAGGCAACCGATTCATGTATCTCTCACACATGGCTGTTTCCCTCTTTCTTCCTTCTCCTCTCTCTAAAAATAAATAAATATATATATATATTTTGCTTTTTTAAGAAAAGAGACTTAAATATACTGGCCCAACTTTCCTAGTCCTCCCAGATACCAAATTAATGAAAGTATTTTATTCAAAAGTCTTATTTACTGGCTGAAATAAAGATGTTCATTTCCTCAACTACAAGAACTGCATTTCACTAATTTGTTCCATGACTACCAGTGGAATACATGCCAAATAACTCCCTGTCAAAAAAAAGCATTATAGCCTTGGCTGGTGTGGCTCAGTGGATTGAGTGCTGGCCTGGGAACCAACAGTTCACTGGTTCGATTCCCAGGCAGGGCACATGCCTGTGTTGTGGGCCAGGTCCCCAATAGAGGACATGTGAGATGCAACCACACATTGATGTTTCACTCTCTCTCATTCTCCCTCCCTTTCCCCTCTCTAAAAATAAAAAAAATAAAAAATATTTTTAGCCCTGGCTGGCATAGCTCAGTGGATTGAGCGCAGGCTGCGAACCAAAGCATCACAGGTTCAATTCCCAGTCAGGGCACATGCCTGGGTTGCAGGCCACAGGCCCCAGCAACTGCACATTGATGTTTCTCTCTCTTTCTCCCTCCCTTCCCTCTCTAAAAATAAATAAATAAATCTTAAATAAATAAATAAAATCTTTTAAAATAAAAATATATATATATTTATAAAAGCATAATTTAAGGACTTCCATTTTGTTAGGCGTGTAATTGGCAAGATGTGAAAAAGTAAAATATTCTGGCAAAACGCTGAGAACTGTTGAAGGTGGGTGATAGGAACATAAGGGCTCATTATATTGTTCTTTTCTTTGTGTGTATGTTTAAAATTTTCCAAGTTAAAACTGAAAGCCTGTGTACCAAGTAAACAAAAGGGTAGGGAAAACATAGTCTCAAGCCAGGCATAACGACAACTAGGCAAAGAAAGTACAAGGGGCTTTGAAGGCAAGTTTACAAGGGTCTGAATCCAGCCTCCACCATTGCCAATGAACACAGCCAAGTCATGACAGTGCTCCAACCCACCTTTTTCTTACCTTTAAAATGGTCATTCTTTCCAAAGAGAGAATGTTGTACATTTAGTACATGGTAAATGCTCATTAATCAAAGATATTATTTTAATAGACAGAGGAGGCAGAAACACTGTAATGACCAATATGTAAACATTAAAACAGGGTAACAGGTTATGTAGCCCCCTGACAGAAAGCTGCTGAAGGCATCAGCACTGATACACAAAACAAAAAACCAACCCAGTCCAGCTGAAAATATTCCCTAGGGTTCCTGGAACTAAGACCAATCCCAGATCTGACACAAACCACTTTAAGCAGTGGTGACATAATTGGAATCAGAAGAATGAATTCAGATATTTTTTATTAAATTGATCTTATAAACTTTATAGTTACAGGGTGGTTTTTTTTTTTTGGTAGGCTTGAGGAATTTTGCAGATTGCTTCTTCTTTAATAAAAACAAACAAACTCTTATTTCCTGGTCTGCCTACAGCCTTAAAATTTTACTTATTTCTCTTTAATTCTAATATTTATCACCAAGAGCACCGAGACGGCAAACTTGAAGAACCCAAATATCTTAAAACCATTTCAACAAACTCAGCAACTCTGGAGTGAAATCTGTGTGTGAGTCTTGATGCCGGCTGGTCTCCATGCCAGTTACTGAAAAGACAGGAGCTCAGCTAGCCTGCGGGGCAGAGAGGCACACCAAACAGTTTCAGGATGTTATT